ATTTGCAAATTAGCCTTTTTCTCGTCTTCTATTTTTGGTGAATTCTTGGGTTTTAAATTAAAATAGCTGATAGACGCTTTGGCCATTTGCCTCGAAAATTTCACACATTATTGACAAGGTGTTCCCCCTTCAAAATGCGTCCGGACAGTTTATTACGGCGAGTGGAACAAAAATAACAAGTCCGCAATTAACATGGATATATAAATTATGCAAAAATAGAAAAGAGTGAACTTTGAGGTCATGCTGTGCGACTTTGAAAACCGTTAGAGAGATGAGTGGACGCATTTGAATTAGTAGTATACCAAGGTATCCAGTGATGTAATTTTACCCACAAACGGACTTGAAGTTTTTAAGCTAATTTTTTTTAAACCACTTTTGTCCAAAAAAGCATATTTTTGACCCAAAATCAAAAACGCATTCTGGATATTTAAAATAAAAACAAGTTTTACAAAGTTTGTATAATAAGCTTTCAGAAAATATATAACATGTTGGATATATAATACCATCTTCATTGTCTAATTACTCAATTAAAAAGCAAGCCGAATAAACTGCATCTCTATCTTAATTTCGACAACAGTGACTTCAATACGGCGCCATGTTGGACAAACAATTGATTTTACACGAGACAAGCGCCTTCGAACCCAGTAAAGTATTATAGCTAGTATTGCGAGGAGTAAACTGAAGATTTTCAATATCCATTCGTTAATCATCAACTAATGTTTGGCTGCTGACATCTAATTTGGAGTTGTGCAAAAGGCGTGATGTGAATGACGATGTTTTTCAAAATTTCAATCTTTCCCACCACCCCATAGTTGTTTACAATCAAGGAGTGTTGTCACTTTAAATGTCCAACCACACAATGTTAACAAAACTGACCCAACCGACTGCTCACTGTGTTTTCATGTACCTCTGTCAAAATTGTTGACGATATTGTTTATTCTAGCAAAATATTTAATAATCATAATAATAAAATAACAGTTAGAATTTGTTTTCCCGAACAATTAAACGTTAGAATTTCGACAAGTATACCTCAATTATTTACAAAAATAAATCGTTGACGTCTTTAATGATTTAATATATAAATATATAACAAGATTTATATATATATAATTTATTTTTGAGAATTTTACTACAACGACGAACGTCTACACAACCAAACACAGTTGTCGCATACGACATTGCCTTATACATCATTTTGACATCCACAGACGTCTGTCACTAGAGGGCGCAATTTAAATGAATGGTATAAACATCGTAGAATCAATGGGTGAGATCAGTGAGTACTAATATTAAACTGAAACAAAAAAAAGATGTCGTGTCGTGGTACAATGAAGTCAATGAACCTATGTTTATTGTTATGTATATAACTATACTGTACATTCATATATCCAAATGTTTTCATTTGAAATAAATCTCCAAATCATTGAAATTTAAATGAGACGATTGGATCGGCGCTTCCCTCCTCTATGTGCTCGCGTATCAATAAAAAAGACCACGATTAAAGGTAGAAACCTACACATGATTTAACGTACCCAGAATTTATTCATTTTCGAATAAATCTCCGGGAAATATAAAGATACTTACTGTAGGCTCGTGATATATGCTGTAAAATATATTGTGAATGACGGGGTACTGTTTGTTATTTCAATTATTTCAAAAATCTGGGTTTTAAAAATTGGCAAAAAAATGCATTTTTTCTTCAACAAATATGCTTTATAGAATTGATCTACATATAGCGATTTTTGAAAAATATTAGGACAAGTTTCTCAAAATACGTCACTGTAACACATACATGAAATCTATTTCATGTTGCCATAGGGCAATAGCTAAACATACTAACCAATGAATATTTGCTATTTACGACCAATGTAGTAGACTTCTACTTTAAGGTAGCAAGAAGGGAAATTTTCACTTTTTTCTTGATTTTTCAAAAATTGATAAAACGGTTACTTTAGACCTTGATACATCATCCCAGGTTTACAAAAGATCGAAATTGCGAAATAACGTTGCTCAAATTAGTGTTTTAAAACACTAGCAGAAAAGACTACAACTGGCGTTTCGTGGATATTTGCATAATGTTTATCTTTGAAAGGGTTTAAATGATAACATCTTATCTGTATACTCTGTTGTTGACGATTCTGATATAACGGGTGATAAGCTTCCAGTTGCAAACAATGCGTGTTTATCTAACGTCCATTGTCAGCATTATTGTAAGTCGAGACTTCGTCGGAGAAACATGGTCATACAGTACTCATTTCGCCCAACCTTCCGCTTTTTCATCGACCGCTTATCGCTTAATTTCCGACCACGCGGTCTTGTCCGACCGGAAACCGACCGCATTTTATCGCGTTTTTTTTCGCTCGCTC